GAGTACCACGAGCGCGTGCGCTCCCAGGGACAGCAGCTGCAGCAGCTCCAGGCGGAGCTGGATAAACTCCACAAGGAGGTGTCCAGCGTTCGCGCAGCCAACAGCGAGGTGAGCTCGGTGGCTGCGTCCTGCTCTCATAGCAGGACCCCAGGGGTGTACAGGAGCCCCGCCGGCTGCACAGTCCTCGCCCACCTTGGAAACCCTTTGCAGAACCTTGCTCCCCGGGTCCTGAGCCCCAACGTCGGGATTTCTCTCAGGGCCCACGAAGTTCATCCCAGAAAATCTAGTTCTCAGAGAACTCTGTCTCCATATAAAATCAGCGCGCAAGCCCCGCCCTCCCTCTTTTTAGAGAGTGGCCAAGCTCGTATTCCAGAGGTTGAATGAGGACTTTGTGCGGAAACCCGACTATGCGCTGAGCTCTGTAGGTAAGACCCGGGACACTGAGAGCCTGAAACTCAGAGACACAGAAAGAGACAGAGACACTCACACAGACAGACCTGTGCACATGACCAGCCCAAGGAGTCCAGCCTCAGACAGACCTTGCCCCAGCTGTCGGTCAGGCCTGGGTGCCACTAAGTGGTTGTTTCTCCCTCTCCAGGAGCGTCCATCGACCTAGAGAAGACATCCCATGACTATGAGGACGCGACCACTGCCTACTTCTGGAATCGCTTCAGCTTCTGGAACTACGCCCGGCCACCCACGGTTATCCTGGAGGTGGGCTTGAAACCTGGATCCTAGAACAGGACCAGGGACAGCGGGATGCTGGGGGAAACGACTCAACAGCTCCTTGGAGGTGGGACCTAGCTGAGCTGAGGGTGTGGCGCTAGGCGGGGGTCCTGCTGGGCAGAAAATGGGCCAAGTTAGAGGTGAGGCCTGGCTTGGTTGGGATGAGGCTCTAGGCAAGGCCTAGGACAGCATTCAACTGTAGGAGAAACCTGGCAGTGCTAGAGACTGGGGCCCTGGCTACGTTGGACCCGGGTTTGGGGTGAAGGACTGAGTGGGTCCCATGTTGAGGTCGAACTTAGGGCGGGGCCTACCTAAATCAATGCCCAGATTGGGGAAGGGCCAGAGTCGCTTGGTCTCCAGGTTCTGATGGTCTGTCCGTCTGCCTGCAGCCAGATGTGTTCCCTGGGAATTGCTGGGCCTTTGAGGGAGACCAGGGCCAGGTGGTGATCCGGCTGCCGGGTCGTGTGCAGTTGAGCGACATCACCCTTCAGCATCCACCACCCAGCGTGGCACATACTGGGAAAGCCAACAGCGCCCCCCGCGATTTCGCAGTCTACGTGAGTAGGACTGAGGCCTAGGTAGGGGATTTTGCCTAGACAGTACCAGGCAATCATGAAAACTGATGCCACTATCTGAGCTTTACTTGCTCATCTATAAAATGAAGACACTACCACTTGCCTCTCAGAGCAGCTGTAGGTTATAAGTAATTATAACCATATCCAAATATTAGTTATGTTTGAGTGCTTACTCTGTGCAGAGTAGTTTACATGGATTACTTACATGGATTATCTCCTTGTGGCCACAATACTGACATGCTATTAACTCCCCTTCACAGATAAAGAAAGTAATCATCAGAAGGGGGCCCTTACTTGCCCAAGGTCGCACAGCTAACAGACTCAAATTTGCAGCTTGGTTTCATTGAGCCCACATTCCATACTACATCAAATATAACACCAAAAAATAAATGAGAGCATGAATACAACTACTGAACACAGCAGGTCCTCAACAAAGTTGCTTTCTCTCCTCTACCTGTGTCTCACTGTTCGTCTATTCACTCTTCATCTACCAGGGCCTCCAAGTTGATGATGAGACTGAAGTATTTTTGGGGAAATTTACCTTCGACGTGGAGAAATCTGAGATTCAGACTTTCCACCTACAGGTGTGTTCTTCTCTGGGAGTTAGAGTGCTAAGGGGGTGGGACAGCGAGGGAAGATTGGGGAGGAGGCAGCCCTTGGGAGAGAGGACTTGGCATGATCCATTTGTCTCCCCAGAATGACCCCCCAATGGCCTTTCCCAAGGTGAAGATCCAGATTCTAAGCAACTGGGGCCACCCCCGTTTCACGTGCTTGTATAGAGTACGAGCCCATGGCACACGAACCTCAGAGGGGGCAGGGGACAGTGCCACAGGGGGGCCCCATTAAACATGCTGATTGTTGGAGTGGAGGTTTGTACTGAAAGAAGCTGGATCAATGCTGAAGGGTCTGTTGGGGGGGGGGGGGTGCTCTGATTACCTTTGGTATTTAAGTATGGTGATGGCTGTACCCTCTTAAGTAGCAGCAGCTCACGTTTATGCAGTACTTCATCATGTACTCTAGATATTATACACATTACTTAACTAATCCTCATGATCACAGCAGAGGGGGAAACCACTCAGGTCAGAAAACTTGTTCAAGGTCACACAGTTAGTGAAGAACTGTCACAGCAGGACCCAAGCCCACCTTCCTACAGAGGCCACCCTCTTTAATTGCAGAGCTGCCAGTCAGCCAAGCTTGTGCACCTCAGTTCCCACCCCCAAATTCTGGGAAAGTTGCCCAACTCCTACTAGGTGCAGTTGGAGGGAGAACTACCCCTTTTCCTTAGATAAACACTCAAACTACGCAGACTTGAGAACCTCTAGGAAGCATCTGAGTCACAGCCAATGCAGGCCTGGTAGCCCCTGCTCAGGTTGTCTTTACTGAGACCAGAGTGCCCAACTCTATGCTAGGCACAGTACAGATAGTCTAGTGTTCATCAGTCCTTGCCCTCAAGGAGCCTGATAGGATAGAGAGGATGCTCCAGGAAACAGGACAATTCATTTACTGATCTAAGAACTCTTCACTCAAAAGTAGATGGAGGAATAAAAGATGGAGGAGACAGATATCAAAGGATTAATGAGTTCTACCTGGGCAGAGTAGAAAAGGGGGGCCAGTATGAACAAAAAAAAACATGCAACATTTTGGCTGTTAAGATCCTTCTCCAGTGTGTTCATGTTTTGGGAGCATATACACACTATTCACAGTGGGTATACCTGTAGGAAGTTGAAGCTGAGCATGTGTGGGGATGGAGCATGTATCTATCTGTTTAAATTTTGGGGGTATTACTTTTGTAATTTGAAGACAAAGGGAAAATATTCTCTCGAGTGGTCTCAAAACCTAAGGTTATAAATGTGAACAAATACATCTTTTTTAGGAACCCAAAGCCTTAAAAGACTGGTATACATAAAAAATTTAAACTTCCATATGAAAAGAGTTCTAGAGACCAAAAGATACTATATATGAAAGGACAATGGCCTGGGAGGAAATATTTTCAATATGCATAAGAAATAACTGAATAACTATAACAGAATAAAGGCTATAACAACAATAAAAACCTATAAATCAGCTATTTGTAGAAATAAAATTCACAAACACATGAATAACTAGCTTTCATAATTAAATAAATTCAACTAAAAATGGTATTTTTTCTTTTTTTGCCTGTCAGATTAACAAAAGGGTTAAAAAACTGTTATAAAGGGCAATTCACAATATCTATTAAAATTTTAAATATTTATACCCTTTGATTTAGCATTTTTACTTCAAGGAACAAATCCTTCAGAAACATTCCTGTAAATGCACAGATAATGTAGAAGGATATTCATTACAGCACTGTATATAACAGAAGAAAATTGGAAGGGACCCAAATCTCAGTAAGTAAGGAATTGGCTAAATAAAGTATAGTGCACTTATATGCATAATAATATATAGGTATTAAAAAGAATGAGGTTGGCAATTAAGTTCTAATGGGTAAGATACCCAAAATATAAAAACAAGGTGCAAATAGTATGTATACTATCCTATTTAGAAAAAAAAATCTCAGACTTAGGAAAGACTGCAGTTCTTACCTGCTCCATTATCTATTTTAAAGCATGCTAAAATAGTGTATATAAAATGATCTCATTTTTATAGAAAAACATGTATAGACTATAAATACTATGGATAAAGGACTAAAAAATATGCACCAAATATTTTATTGGGATATGGACGTTTAGCTGATATTTTTCCTGTATTCCTACAATGAATATACATATTAATTTTCTAGCAAGAAAAAAAAAACTGTTAAAAATTCAAGCCTGTAGCCTATTTTTAGGACTAGAACTACCACTGCTCCCTCCCTAGGAAGTCTAGCATAGCCCCTACTCCAACTTAAAACTCATCCCTCCCCTAGCACTCTCCATCTTGTCCTGTGTTTGCAGCTCTGCCCAGCAGGGTGTCTGGCTTACATTCAATCTTTGTATTTTCAAAATAAAGTCAGTATCTCCAAATTTATGGCCTGGAATACATAATTTCTTTGAGTGGGGCTGTTCTGTCAGAAGCATCCCTCACTCAACAACTCCCAAGGTCAATAAATAGGCTCAGAGAAAAGTAAACATGGCTAAAAGCAGATTCCTACCCAAAAACAGAGTGGTGGCAAAGCAGTGGTCATCGTTGATCTTTATTGAATGAAGGGCTCCAGGGGGCAAGCAGGTGGGATCAAGAGCAGCAATAGCAGGAGCAAGTATAAAAGTATAAAATATATAAACTGCTAGCACTGGCAAGTGTGTTCAGAGGTGGGGACACAGGGCTGAGGACTGGCCATAACCTACGCTCCAAGGGAATCTAGGCCTGAGGAGCCTCTGCAGGGCCCTTGGCTGGGAGTGGAAGCGGCTTGAATGGGGCCCAGCCTTGGGCCTTGAAGTAGGAGACCAGTTGCATGGGTACCTCTGCGAGCACAGTCTGCGCCAATGCCTCTCGAGGGGCCTGCCAGGAGAAGAGGGGCAAGGTCAGTGGGGGCCTGCAACAGCTTCAAAGGATATGAAATCTAACACCTAACTCTGCCCCAGACTTAGGTAAAAGGGTGAGTATCCCCACTCACATCAGGGAGAGGTGGAAGGGTAAACTCTCAGATCTGGTCTGCCCCCATACTTGTCCCCACTCACATTCTGGAAGCGGCGGTAGGGCACAAACTGCACTATGTCACGGGCAGCTCCCTCCCCGGAGCGTGTGCGCAGGGGTCCACCATCAGCATCCAACTGCTCCATGGCCTCGAAGTCAGCACCGCCCACACCCACGATGATCACTGACATAGGCAGGTGGGAGGCACGAACCACAGCCTCACGTGTGGCCTCCACATCTGTCACAGCACCGTCGGTTAGCAGCAGCAGCACAAAGTATTGCTGGGGGCAAGTCATTCACATACTGAAGCAGACTCTCTAAACATCCCAGCCACATATTCCCACACTGAAAAGAAGTCTCTTGTTACATAGACCTCAAGGCAGCCCTGAACTGAGACCACCCCACCACCACCTCCCATAACCCTTACCGAGGCAGTCCTCTGTTGTGCAGCCTGGGCTGCAAACCTGGCCACATGGTTGATGATGGGTGCGAAATTTGTGGGGCCATAGAGGCGAACTTGGGGCAGGGCCTGACGGTAGGCATCCACAATACCCTGGATGCCTAGAGAAGAAGGGCAAAAACACCGTAAAACACCGAGTGTCTTGGAATTGAGCCAGTCCTGACATCATCCCACCTTAGAAGAGGAGATTTGGGAACCTGGGTGCATTTCATTCAATCGCCCCTGTAACCCAAGGTACTTAACCTTATTCTACAGATGAGGAAATTAAGGCCAAAGATAAGAGGGACACTTGTCCTAAATCACAGCTTGAATAAAAACCCAGATTAGGGGATATCCTGAAGAACCTAGGACAGTTGGGCACCAGATAACCCATTCAATAAGATAATGAATTATAATCCATTTAATAAAATAAGAATCCATAGAGCTATGAAAGCTCTTCCTTAATATACAAAGAAGGAGGAATTACAAAATCAGTCAACAAACGTAGAGATAAATGATTCAGGCAAGGATCATCAACGGATGCTAAAACTAGGGGTTAAGAGATGAGCAATTAGATATTTATATAGCCTCAAAGTATCTTCCCAAAAGATACTTAATTACAAAGAGAAAAACAGTACTTGCATAGTACAGAAACCTGACAGACTCTACCTTTACCAATGATCAAAGTTAACATGGCTGGTAATAGGATAAATCAATATCATGTGCTTCCTGATACGATGCACTGAGAAGAAAACAGCATCATGTCTGTGATATTCCCACCAAACATGCATAATCTCAACCTAATCCTGAGGAACCATCAGGTAAAACCAAACTGTGAGACATTCTATAAATTATCTGGCCTGTAATTTTAAACAACGTCAATATCATGAAAGAATGAAGAACTATGGAAGACGATAACTGAATGCAAGATGTGATCCAAGATATCCTTTTGCTGTAAAAGAACAGTTGGTAAGATTTGAATAAAATCTATAGATTGGATAATAGTATTGTATTGATGTTAATTTCCTGACTTTGAGAATGGTAATGTGGTCATGTAAGAGAATGTCTTTGATTTTAGGAAACACACACTGAGGTATTTAGGGATAAAGGGCCACATGAATGATAATAGGTGCAAAGTTGGTAGGGCCATAGAGGCAAAATTGGGGCAGGGCTTATTTACTACAATTTTCAAACATTTCAGAAAAAAAAGTGTGTGTGTGTGTGTGTAGAGAAAGAAAGACAGAGAGAGACAGAGATGGGGCGGGGTGGGGAGAACTTGAGAATAACGAAGCAAATGTGGCAAAATGTTCGTGTCTGAAGAATCTGGTTGAAGATAAACACTAGCGCCTGTGACCCAGGCCCTGACTCCTGAGCTCCAATGACCTGAACACCTATAACTATTCCTGCAACTTTCCTCTAAGTCTGAACCCGTATCAAAATAAAAACCCAGGTCAGGTCAGGTCAAGTTTTCCACTGCAGCTTATTGCCCATGTGGGGGTGGCTGGGAAGCCAGGAGGTTTGGCCCTCTCTAAACAAAACAGCACAGGGCAAAAAGTACCCTGAAAAGAGATGATACCCAAATAAGTACTTGTGAGCTTCTCAACAGAGATAATAATGATAACAGCTACCATTTTTTAGAGAGCACTTAGTATGTACCAGGCTTACTGTTTCCAACTTTACATACATCTTCTCCTATAATATCAGTATTCAATATCCTACAATACTATAATCCTACAAGCACATAGAAGCAGAGCAACTTCACAAATTACATTGTTAGAAAATGGCAGGATAAAAATTTGACTCCAGAGGCCTAGCTTTAAAATCCATTCTTCTGAACAATGGAGTTAGGAATCTGCTCCCCTATCCCCACTCTCTCTTGCCAGCATAGGTTTGGCCCTCTGGGTATGAAGAGATCTGTCTTATGCTGGAGGATGGGAGACTTACCTGAACAGTAGGGGTTACTGGGATTGAAGTTCAAAGCAAATTCATGGGAGACCTGAAAACAAGAATGAAAATGAGGTTCTTCCCTCATAGCCACCTTTGTACTAAGAAAGAGGGCACCATGGTATGTACCAAGCATCTTATAGGAGCTCTTTAGTCCTGAGCACTTGCTGTAACCTGCCTCTCCCCACAAAGCTGGGTACCAGGCAGTGAGTCCACTGCATCTGCCAAAATCAGGAGTCTGAAACTGAAAACACGAGTACAGGAAGGGAAGAGTGCGCTCACCTGCCAGTCAGGGGGCACTTGAGCCCCAAATCCAAATGCTGGGAACAGCTTGTCCCTGTGGGAGGACAGTGAGTTGGGGAAAAGGCAGTGAGGGAACTGTGAGCCCAGAGGCTGAGGCATCTGCAGGGAGTGGGGATGGCCAAGAGAAGTTACTTACGAATCATAGTCCTGAATCACGCTTCCCACACTCCACAGTGCTGTCAGGTACTCGTTGACCCCTGTTGGGCTCAGGTAGTGCAGGGAGTCTGGTGAGGAGGGGTCTCCATTGGAGCCTGTGAAGTCCACACCCACCTAGAAAGATAGGAAGAAAGAAGCTGAAGGCCCCCTTGAGCCCCAAATCTGTTCTCTTGCCCCTGGTAAAGCAACTTACAGTAAAGTTGACTTGACAGCCTCCCATCACATAGTCGAGGAATGAATACTCTGTTTCTACCTGCAGATGAAACCAGGGTCATGTCTAGGGTGAAGGGGTTGGGGCCATGGTGCTCAGGGATCAGAGCCTGGTCACATGGGCTACTGTCTCACCTGGCAAATCTTGACACGAATAGTTCCAGAGTTCTTGTAGCTTTTCTTTTTCTGCTGTTTCTCAGGGTGGATGCATTCAAACTCAGCCTGGTAAGGAAAGAAAACTTTGGGTAGGAAACTCCCACAGCATCAGTCAGGACTGGAGTGTAGCTTCCCTGCTCTCCTCCCCTCCCTGGAGCTACAGCAATCTAGGCCCACCACGACACCCCTAAGGAGGGCCAGCACTCACTGGGGCTGCTTGCAGCTGGGCCAAACTGGTGTGGAAGGTACCA